GGTTCCACATATCACAACGCATCGTGATGGCAGTCCTCGACCTGCACCACTACTCTGTCGATATGATTCTGGGATTATTTGTCACAGTATTGATATGGCATTCGGCAATATTATATATTGATCTACCGCAAGTACCACTCAATTTGCACTTACATTTGAAACGGCTTGTATTTCCTGAAAATAAAAGACTGTATCTAGTCAATCACCATAATGTTAAGGAGGTGTAGTATCTTTATACAAAAGCCTTCTCCAGTGATTATGGGTAAGTTGTTTATCTAACCTGCATAGCACTCATGTTCGAATAAAACAGGTTATTATGGGAGACGCAGTGATAAACTTTGAACTGTACATCTTTCTTAAATTTGAGTAAAACGCTTTTGCTTTTCTTAGCCTTGATGTGAGATGTGCGAAAGGCTGGAATAACAATCTTGCTAAAAAGATAAGAGAGATTTAGAAAATCGGACAATACATATACGAAATAGGGTACTGCTAATGACTTGGCAAGCAACAAAAAGTGCCTATTGCCCACAAAATACTTATAGTCTAATAAGGATCCAGTTAACATTTAACCATCACTTCAACAACAGACAGTACTAAGTTTCTGTCAAAGATGAACGTATGATGGCTAAGCGTTTAAGAAGGCTCTTTGAACAAACGTTGTTCTAATACCAGCCAACTTAGTCCATTTTTTACCAGAAAGGAGAAAAAGGAGGAGAACATTTAATTTATGAGGAAAAGACGAGTACGATGCAAGATCCTCAGTCTTCAACTCATCGTATAAGTCCCATTTAGGACAATTTCAAGCTGTAAAACTAGCGAACAGAATAATGTTTAGTGACTTCTGTTCATCTGCATCTGCTGCTGCAAGAAGGACACAATTAGAATTACTAGATAGTCGACCGTGGTAGACAGAACCGCGGCGTCTTTAAAATATCTAGGGAAAATCATGCATAGGAATACTGCACTCTCCAGATCTTCATTGCTCAATTTGACACATGATCGTCCTACATTGAGAAAAGGCAATTTACTTATGTTTCCTATATCTAACTGTACGGAGGTATAGTATCCTTATACATAAGTCTTCTCCACCGATTAAGTTGTTTATCTAACCTCCATAGCACTCATGTTCGAATAAAACACGCTATTATGAAAGCTGTCAAAAATAAGTCTACCCGTACATGTAGATCAATATCATTCTTTTGTCCTTTTTCTTTCTCTCGTTTTGCTGAATGAAAGAAATCGGATGCATTTCTATGTACAGAATAGAACAAATATCCATTTTTTATTATCAGGTACACAATCCAACACAATTTAAAGCTGAACTGTATTTTTCCTATTTATAAATACCAGTTACACATCTATATGTATTTATATATCTGTTTTCAAATCAAATAATCAATTTTACCACATTATGAAGATATTTTCTTTTCAACGAAAGGAAACCGATTCACTAGAAATTTTCTTCGTTTTCTCACAAGTTAACTAATTAAAATAACTTTAAAAAGGCATCTCTTCTATTCTAAAATTGTTTTCTATATCTCAACACGTGTTTGTGGGTTATTTTTCCTTGATACATTTTGACACTGAATTTCTGTTTACAGTTTAGTTTAATAAGTTGGCTGAGATATACGTGTGTGTGTTAGTTCAACGTATATGTTGTGACCAAACTTAGAATTTCGGCTAGATTCCGAATTTGGTAGGCCAAACTTAGAGTTCAGATGCCTACATATGGAAAATTGCGAATTTGGCCGGCTAAAACTGGAATTCTAACTTTGGCTGACCAAATTCAGAATTTGACGCCAAAAGTCGAATTTTATTTTATTTTGCTCAGGTCAAAATCGAAATTTGGAATTATTATTATTACACAATATTATATTAATTATTAATTCAACATAATTTGAATCGATATAAATCGATATAAATATTTATTGAGAAAACGAGCATTCTTTTTTTAATGGTCTTTATCTAAGGAGAAACCACCAAAGCAAAACTTCTCTAGCAGAAATATCTAGATGCTTTTGCTGGTGTATCGGCCGGCTTTTTTTACTCATTTAGCTAGATGCAACTGCTGCACAGTGGAGAATTTTTGAAAGGCACGTGGACATTTAGTCTAAAATCTATCCATTTTTTTTCAAAACGCAATTTTATAGATTTTCGCATAAGCTCTTTCCACCAGAATAGTTTTCGAAAGGATAGGGTAACCCTCCTCCCCCCCCATAATAGAAGACCACCTGGTCATCTATTTTGTCCCTCAAGTCGAGTTCTAGAAGGTGGTCGTCTATTGCGGTCAGATTTTGTCGCCTGCAAGTAGTCCAACGGTAACCCCCACGTAGTTGAAGTCCATGCCTTATCAGAAGTACGTTTTGGCGAAATTTTTTGAAAATTCCCCCCTAGGGTATAGGGCATTTTCCAATTTTTTTCAGGGACATAATAGAAGACCATGATCTATTTGGCTTTCAAGTTATATAATCGGCAATGGTCTTCTAATAGGGGACAGTCTTCTATTATGAGGGAGGGGGGTTTACTTGGAAAGGGATTTTCTAGAAAACCTCAACCCTTTCGGGAGAAATAAAGAGCTTAATAGAGATTTTTTATATCTAAAAAGTAATTTTTCATCTTTTCGACTACATTCTATATCGAAGGACAGTTTTGAAACTCTTAGAGTGGTTTTCTAGGGGATTTCTGGAAAACTCTTGCGGTTTTCAACTGTTTCAGATCTCAAAATAGTCAAATTTAAAATTTAAAATAAAAAAACGTGATTCCGCCACGATTGGCCAGGCCGCTTACAATAAAAACCGTCACTGTACAATATTTAGCATCAAATTCTACCCATTGTACATCCAGTTGAACTATTTCAAAACCTGAGCTTCATTAGGAAAAAATACATTAAATAGTCGCTTACTCTCGCTGTGGATTTTGACGTTTTAGCAGCAGATCTTTTGTAAAGACTTGTACAATTAATTTAAATAATTCCAATCCATTGTACAACTCGAGAACTATGTTATACGATAATTAAAACCTTTAGAAACCATTTTAAAACCCTCCTTATACATTTTCCAGACAGAGAAACATGATCAATGTGTTTTCAGAAATAAGATTCCATTAACTACAAGTTTCTTAACCCTACTAAACAGTTTAAAGATCTTGTGATTCCCGCTAAAACCCTCGGGATTCTCAGAAAGCCATTTTACAAATGTTTTGCCCATTTCTCACGAGAAAGACATCTGTGAATGATTACAAATAATAATGCTGATCCATCCGAATATTGTACTACCGTTTCTACGGATAGGGCATCCCCTTGAAGTCGTGGAGTTTTCCAGAAAAACATACAGTAACATTAAATACATACAGTTTTCTACGTTTCAGAAATACTGACTATATCCCAAAAATACTAAAAAAATGATGAAAACCTTTTTTTAACGAGGCATAATTGTAGCCCGCAAATTTCTGATTAAAATGAGAAAAAACATCTTCCAGCTCTACATGACCTTTCTTTGCAGAGTTACAGAACTACAAGAAAAGCCCTAAATTAATTTCTTCTTCTTTCTGTAGCTTTGAGCTGACAATGAACATTCAGGGCGTTTGTTGTACGTTCTATAACTTTGCACAGAAAGATCATGTAGAGCTGGAAGATATCTCCGTGTTCTAAAGGTAGGATGTAGAGATGAAAAGACGGAAAAGTGAAATTATTTGCCGTTAAAATTTGACTTGAGCGAAGAGTTTAAAATCTATGATTATTATTTGATGTTGTTAAGTTTTTGTATTCTATGACTAAAAGCATCTGCAACATAAAGATTACCCTGTGAATCAAATCTCATTCCTCTTAGAGAATGGAGTCGAAAAAATGAAGGCCGATCTGTACCACGGTCCATAACTGCAATTCCTTCTTTAGAATTCGGAAGGTATTTTTGAATTCTAAAATTATTTATATCAGAAGTATAAATGATTTGTTGATCTTCATCTACAATGACTGTAAACATTAAATAGAGAATAGTGTACGACGTCCAGTATTACCACGAAATTGTGGTTGTTCTAAAATATTATCATTCGTTGTACACAAAGTTACAGCCCACCATTGGACTTGTGTATCCGGTTGATAGATTGCTTGAGTCAAAGCTATATTACGTACACCACGCCATACAATGTCGCTAATCGAGTGTAACTTATATAATGCTGTCAGAAATAATTTTAGGTGTGGTAACCATATCTCCAGAGTATTGCGTTGTTCGGATCGAAGTGTTCGATTTAATTCTTGATAAAACGATGGTTGACCTGATGGCAACTCATAGGTATAAAGATAAATACTAGCAGACTGATCTTGTGTCAAGTTATTCAGTGAATTTTTACAGGCCTTTTTAGCTAAATCAACATGAGACTCGAGATTTCTAAACAGATGACTAATAGGACAAATAGCTTCTTCTAATAATATTAGTGGTTGCTTTTGACAACCTTCAATCGGATTTCGTAAAGAATTGTGAGTTACTGCGTTAGGTAACATTACGTCAGTAAAATGAGATGCCACTGTGTTTAGTTTAGTTTATTTGAGAAAAAGTCATGAGTATGTAAACATAGCACAAGTTGTAAACATAGTTAGTACAAAATATCTCGAAGAGAAGTTCTGCTGTGCACTCACATTGTGTGGACGATGATACTTTGATCTAGAGTATTTTGTACTTTGTTGCCGTTCTTCAAGATCAATTAACAATAAACAAAGTCATCTGGATTAGATTTACTTGTCTGGTGAAACTTACTTACATGGTCGAAATTATCAAATGTCAACACTTAATTAACAGTGATATCACTGAAAAGTAGAAAGACAAAAGAACACAACGAATCATTGTATTACAGTCAGAGAATAGAAAAATAACTTCATTTTATTACCTTACTTCCGAGAAAATTATAAACTATTATTCAACGTTGAAAATTGCATATGTTAAAATGAAAACGTTTAAAGTATTTTGATTTCTATAAAAAATAGAAGCATAATTTAAAAATCGAACTCTGTCAACTCCTGACTATATGTGTTATCTTAAAACCAAAACCAAAAGCTTTCTTCAACGTATCGTTACCAATAATTCCTGTGCATGACGAAAGCCCTGAAGCTAAACAATAGTCTTGAGAAAACCGCAAAATAAGTTTTGATTTTGTTAAATGCGTTTTACTTAAAAACTGCTGGAGCATTATTTGTTGACACTTTGCTATAGATTATTGGTCAAGGGGGATCTAAAACGTCGTTTTTGTGTTCGAAAACTCGACTAGAATGTTTAACGTATGGTGATAACATATTAAACCGAAAAAGAAAAACGATGTTTCCAGTGTTTTGAAGTGAAAGTTTTCTTCAGATATGGGCAGAAATATGTCATAGAACATCACCAATATCGGTTTTGTTTAAGAATGAAATAGTTTGAGTCCAAACTAAAGTTTGAAAAAGTTGATGAATGATAATATTTCTGGTGGTATTAATATTCTAGCCTATTTTAGATTCATTCCAAAGACTCTCTTTCAGTACACAAGTGACCGAAAGACTCTGACGATAAAACTTCAAAAACGTACTACAATAGTCTCTCAGGACTAGTTACTGTTTAGCCCATCCACATGTAGCACGGAAAATCGCACAAACGGCTCTTCTTCCTCGGTTTCTCTCACACTATGATGACGACTTTTATTGCGTTAGTAATTTATGCGCACATTTTCTTCATGACTATGTCCATTTCTATTGGCATTATCTCTACACAAGACGCATTCAGTCTTTCATTGGTCAATTGCAGCCATACGTATACCACTGTTAAAGTTAAGGTGAACAAAATGACTCAATGCATTTTAGAAAATCGATTTCGAATTTCCAGAATCTTGGGAATTATTTATAGAAATTCGATTGATTTTCTATAAAGCAGAAAATCCCCGGCGATTTTCCAGTTTATAGGAAATCCTCAGCGATTCTCCACCTTTACAGAAAATCAAATCTATGGAAATTCAAGTCGATTTTCTAGAAAGCTGGAAATTCGTTGAGGAATAAACTAGAAGATCACCGGCGAGTTCGGTCGATGTTCTATAAACTGGAAATTAATTCAAGATTACAGTGTACTCCTCTTTTTCTTTTGCTCATATCTCGGTACCGAAGTTTTTAACAAGCGGGTTTCACTACATACTCGCCGCTCTCTCTAGTATATTTATAGATAAGAAATGTCAGAAATATTCATTGTTGCTCCTTGTAGGCCCATTAGACCGACAAGTGAACGTAATATAAACAATAAATAATTTTTCTCTTTTCATGAGGCTGTTTTGGAACAAAAACATTCGCGTCAATTTTCTCACTAACTATGGCACTTGGGAAAAAAACTTCCAACGCCATTTAAATATAGCGTAAGCTGCAGTATATGATCTGCTGCTTGAATCTTGAAAAAGTTCACTTTCGTTTTTTTGTCCAAAGTCGGCTTGATTGCCTACTGTGTATACGTTTTCCGATTTTTATTTGGCAATAAACAATAAACTGATGGCTTCATTGACAATTTATTATATGTGAATTGTATATGCTTGGTAGAATGATCGCCGCGTTGTTTTGAGTGTTCGATCAGCATTGCAATGTTCAGATAAGGCCAGTTCCTTTAAATCACGATTACCAGCATTATTCAGTTGTCATTCTGGTGGAATATCAACTTTTGATAATGAAGTCGGCAGTTTGGGAATATAACTATGACGGGAACGCTACAATGCTGATTTTACTGAATCAAATTGCATGTCTAAATAAGAATCTGTCGTGAACAAGAAAGTATTCTGAGCGCTGATGATAAAGCTACTACTGATGTTCATGATTTGTGTCAACAGCTTTTGATACTAGCGTATCCACGTTTAAAAAGCTACGTAAACTGATAAAACTGTATTAACCAATTAATGGTTAACAATTTACCTTACACATTGTCCTAGCTTCGAACCGTTTTTATTTGTTCTCCGTAATGAATATTCATATTTTCAGCAACAAAAGGTGTTTTACCACTAGTTTGATTTTGTATTGAACATTGCATACACCGTAATTTGGAATTATTTTCTACTTTATAGAAAATCGAGTCGATTTTCTATAAATTGACTTTTCTCATTTGCCAGAAAATCGATAAGGAATTTCTAAAAAGTTGGAAAATCGACAGCGATTTTCTAATATTTAGAAAATCGATTGATTTTCTATAAATAATTTCCAACATTGTAGAAAATCGACTCGATTTTCCAGATTCTAGAAAATCAAAATCGATTTTCTATAAATA